GATGGAGGTCTCGCCCGGTAACCATTCCCTGTGGGCTCCTCACTCCTCCATCACACCGCAGATGGAATTCCTGTTGAACGTGCTGGTCCCTCTGTAATGGACCGATCAGCCGTTTCAATTGGGGTTCCCCCAGAGGATAAGATGTCGATAGCAGCATCGGAGGGTGAGCTGGCCTCTGGAGATGACGACTCAGCTGTGTTTTAGCCCTCTGGGAGTTTAACGTTGCCCGAGCCAGATCCAGAAATGTCAGCTATGCTGAAACGGGCTGCCGAGGAACCCTCCACCGTGTCCCGTTCAGTCTCGGTTGAAGGATTGGTATCTCGGGGTGGGCCGCACTGGTTCTCAGCTCGCCGCCCCAGTGCCTTTCTTTTCCGAAGTGCATGGAAAGCTTACCAGGTTGTGGACGGCACCTTTCTCTGCCAGAAACTGCCTGAATAGCTTTTCCCCCTCACTACCCTTGATGGAGGAGCTGTGAAGGGTTGTGAGGCTATCCCTCTAGTGGAGCGGTCTGTCACGACACAGGTGAACCTATGTCCAGCGGCCGCTGCCTTTTGGGAGGATTCTCGTCTCCCACCTAAGGCCTGTGAATTCTCATCCATTCCAACGGGCAGAGCTTACAAAGTCTGTGGGCAAGCCGCCTCCTCTTGCGTGCCATGGTCGCTGTTGCAGGTCTATCAGGCCAGGGCACCCATGGACATGCACGAGGGTAGCCCAGACCGTGCACTTATAAGTGAGCACCACTGCATCCGACCTCGCCCTCCGGGGCACGAGTGTCGTGGCGTGCGCGATCAGTTTGGTGATGTCCACCTTAGTGGTTCAGGAGCACCATTGTTGGCTCAGCCTGGTTGATATGGCGGATGCGGACAAGGTTTGGTTCCTGGTCTCCCCAATTTCCCAGGTTGCGCAATTCCCTTCCTATGGACTGGATACATGCACAATGCTTGCTCCAGTTGAGTTCCCCTTATTAGCCGAAGCCTGTCGAGTTCCTCCATACCCTTCGGCAACGGACGTGGCGGAACGTCCGAAGCCAGGCCTATCACTCGTATGCACTGCTGGAACCTGTGTTAGGCAGGGTCCATATGTTGTGATCCCTACGGTGATCCCATATGTGTATTCTTCCACGGTACGGCTCCCTCCGACGAGGCCGTATCTTCCCTCAGCAGAGCCTGCTCTGCTCTGCCGTCACTGTTGGTTGACCCTGTTATAGGCTGGAGTCATCCCAGTGACATTCCAAATGTTGTACTGCCCGGTCATCCGCCCAGTCCATATGTGTATTCTCCACATGTTACCTTCCTTCGGGCAGGATGTGGTTTCCGCAGTGTCCCTTCCTTCCATTGATGGGGTACGCTTTCCCAGTGGTCCTGTGGAACAGCAGTGACTTCCTTGACCTAAGCCCTTCCATCTTCGCCTCAAGTTGCAGAAGGTTCAGGAGGCTTTTGTCTAGGCACTGGAAGGTGGCAGCACTAGTGCCCCTTTCAATTGGTGATCCCATTCAGTCGACGTCGACTACGTCTGACGTTCTCGACTGAAAGGGAACGTCCTGGTTGCGTATGCAACCCCAGTTCCCTGAAGGAGGGAACGGAGGATGTAGTACCCTTGCCACTACTGCTGGACCACCACTGACTCCGAGTTACACTCGGCTCCTCAGCGAAAAAGCAACTAGTGCATGCATACACTTCCGGGGGGCGGAGTGTTTGATGTAAATCACGCACGCCAATTCCATTGGCTTGTTCAATAGTACTCGAAGATGACTGGCTCCCTGGCATGATCCCATTCAGTTAACGTCGACTACGTCCTCCGTTCCCTCCTTCAGGGAACGGGGGTTGCTTACGCAACCAGGACGTTTGTGTTTGCTATAAAAATTGATCCCTCACATTCATTCTCTGTTCGGTCTACTTTCACATTTAGTGTGTGTTGCTCTGTCTGTTTGATCTGTATCAAACTTCATGTTGGAACTAATCTTCTTCAAGTGCCTTCCTGCAACCGCCTGTTACAGAGCTATTTTGGATACATATACATATATTTGGTGATTTTTAACAATTAACAAACAGATCACAAGTTATCCGCACGGTAACTGACGGGCAGATAAGGCTCAGATTAGACCAATCATCCCAGACTGAAAAGGGAATATCCTCCTTGTGGTTTGTTACCCAGATGGAGAATGTGTGCTGTGAGAAAAAAAAGAAAAAAAAAAGAAAGACATTCTGTCACTTCTAGCTTTCTCTCTGAGTAATCATTTTATATTAAAATATAGCCAAATGCGGTTGTCATTTCACATTTTAGAACTGAATCCCGTTCTGTACATACACACCGTTCAGCAATTTTAGGGAGTGACAACTGCATTCTACAATTGAATTAAAAATGCAGGTATTGACAACTAACCTGGCCCTAGCCAGATGAATTTCGCTCCGCCTAGCTTCACTCATCCATCTGGAACCGATCCATTGAAATGGCGTTTCAGAAGGCTGGGCCTTATCAAAAATCCTTGCATATGATTGGATAAGCCACTTGTCTGTCATCTTTATCGACGTGCTATTTCAACCACTCACACTACCAGAGGAGCCATTTGGTAGATCAAGCTCTTGCCAAATCCGGTCGGGAGAAGGGCGAAAACATCGTTTCCACCAACAAAAGCCTTAAGAGCCGTTCTTTTAATGAAACAATATTAGGTAGATTGGACAACACGGACGAAATAGCAGCATCAATGTTAACGCTTGCTTCCTCGATGCGAGCCTCCATCGTTGTCTGAATCAAAACAGTCTCACGGTCGCTTCTCCACTACGTCACATCTATGAAACTCCCGCCCTGCGTCCTGATTGGCTAAACCATAAAGTTGGTTGGAGAAATCACTCTCAATGGAAGAGGTTCCAGATGGATGTGAGTGAAGCTAGGCGGAGCGAAATTCATCTGGCTAGGGCCAGGTTAATTGACAACCGCATTTCGGCTACAAAAAAATCTTGTATGCGCAGTGCAAGAAATCACAGGGAAAGAGGTACGAAAATTGAGCCTTGAGAGAACCTTGACAGAATGTTCTCTAAATGTTATTTTTATTTTTTATTTTTATAACAAAAAATATAAACTAACATTCCCAGAACACTGCAGTGTTTTTTTATTGTGAGTGTATACAGTATAGAACATTCAGTATGTATTTAGTTTTTGCTATCTTTTTTTACCATGAACTTACCTTACCAGAATATGCACAGGCGTTTTCTGTGACAGCGTAATAAGAACTTACACAGAACATGTTCATGGTTAAAGTCCCCATGAAATCAAAATGTACGTTTTTTTTTTTTTTTTGCTTTAATTACAGTATGAATATGTTAGCCTTAAGGTTATTTATAAGCTAATATGCTCCAAGATAATGACAAAATTCATATTTAGAAGATACAACTTACAGTCTTTCACTTCCGCCAATATGGATTAATGATTTTGATGACATCACTCTGCACTTCAGCCTGTCATCAGATTTTCTGTCCAGTCAAATGCTCTTTAGAATCTGAAGCGTCCCGCCCCCTACATTATACACATAGAAGCTGCGGTTAAAATCGGTCACTTGTTCACAAATTTACTATTTTCTATTTCCAGTCAAATGCTCTTTAGAATCTGAAGCGTCCCGCCCCCTACATTATACACAGAAGCTGCGGTTAAAATCGGTCACTTGTTCACAAATTTACTATTTTCTACACAGTGAATGGAACACAGTGCACTATATGTTTGCGTCTTGATGACAGTTTAAATATGCTTTCCATTGTGGCGACTGAAGTCTGGTTTCTCGTTAGTGTCCCGCGAACCGTCGCAACACGCACGCACACACACACACACCCACACCCACACTCAGTTTGCTTTTTGATTTTCGATGCAAACCAAAAAAAAAACTATCAGACCCGTTTAAATTCTGCAGAATGCTATATTTTGAAGCGATATGGAGGAGATCAAGAGGAGAAACTGTTAGAGATAAGGAGGAAACTGTGTCTTTGGCGAGATGTGATATGTAAACGAAACACTATTGGCTACTTTAAAAAGGGGAGGAGCTGTTCGATATGTCCAGCTTTGTCTTTCTGTTTAAAGGTCCCGTTCTTCATGTTTTTTTGAAGCTTTGATTGTGTTTACAGTTTGCAATATAACATGTGTTCATGTTTCGCGTGTAAAAAAACACAGTATTTTTCACACAATTTACTTATCTGTATACCGCTGTTTTCACTGTCCAAAAAACGGCCTGATGACTTCCTTGTTCTATGAAGTCCCTCCTTCAGAAATACGTAACGAGTTCTGATTGTGCCAGCGGTTCCTGTGTTGTGATTCGACAGCAGCTTATCGCACGTTGCACGGAAAGGTCACGCCTCTTACCATAATTTGGAGATGCATGCGCAGCTGAAGTGCTTCTTCTCCGTGGGAGCGCAACAAGACCACGCCCCCTTTTTTTGTGTATTCCTGTGGGCGGAGATTATTCGAAAAGCTATTCTAGTTACGTCATTAAAAAAGGAAGTAGATGTAGTCCAAACCGGCCGTTCGCTGTATGCTTTGAAATGGGACTTCTGTTAAATAAAATATCTCGCTATAGGCATTGAACTTTGAGCTTTATAATTTTACAGGTATTATTTATGCTCTAACAGCAACATTACACACTAATTAAAGTTTGAAAAATGGAATTGCGAAGAACGGGACCTTTAAGTGGAAATTACGCCAACACACTGAATAATGCTACGCGTTTCAAGGCATTTCAGTTGGCCTTCAAATAGGTTTAATGGTTTAGAATAATTTTTGTCTCGCCAAAAAGCTATATATTTAATAATAAATCTTAATGCTTTATAGACATAATCTTACACTTGTGAAGATTTTGCATTCTATGATGTGTAACAACATATTTCACTTTGAAGATGCACTTTGCACAAATGAACAAATTCATCCATGCAATGAATGTAAATGTCTTTAAATTTGCTAAACTGGTACATTTGGTGACTAATCTGTCTCTCTTGTGCATCTAGATGGAGTCCGCAGTTTCACTAACCAGCTTCACCACTGGCCTGGATGACACCACAGCAAACACCACTAACACAGAACAAAACACCTCCTGTGAATTTTCAAGGATCCGAACTCATCCTGTTTTCACATTTGCATACTCACTAGTGTTTCTTGTCAGTCTGGTTCTGAACTGCATCACGATGCGTGTGTATTTCTGCACTAATCAGCGTGTCCAGTCCAGCGTCACGGTCTACATGAAGAACCTGGCCGCAGCTGACTTCTTCCTTTGTCTTAGTTTACCTTTGCGCATTGCTAATTATGCCAGCAGTTCAGAGATGATGCGTAATATTTACTGCAGCTTTGGAGCAACAGCCTTCTATATAAACATGTATGCAAGCATTCTCTTCATGGATTTTATTGCTGCAAACAGGTATGCAACACATACTAACACCTACTTGTGTTGACCTCCAAGTTTGGAGTCATTAAGATTTTGTAGTATTTTTAAAAGAAATCTCTTGTGCTCACCAAGGCTGCATTCATTTGATTAAAAATACAGTAAAACAGTAATGCTGTGAAATTGTCACGATCTGTGGCCGTATGCAGCACACGACGAAAGTGATAGAGAACAAAGAGAGTCTTTAATAAAATAAACAAGGAACACTCAGGAGATCGCAGGAGAATACATAACACAACCACTTTTAACATAGACAATACCAGACACTGAACAGAAAGAACTCAAGGCTTAAACACACAGGAAATGTATAGGAGAAAAGAAACAAGTGTGTGGAAACTAATAAACAGCCAAGAGAAAACAACATTAACAGACAATTTAACTGCAATTTAAAAAGTAACTTTCAATTTTAATGTATTTATAAAAATGAGTTGGAGCTTATCAATTATTACTGGTACTGGTTTATTAATAATGGTTCTCATTATCAGTATTAAAAACAGGTGTTGCATGCCTAATATAGTTGTCTAGACATTTCAAGTATTTGTTATGTTTAATTTGATGTGCCCTGGATGAATAATAATAATATTATTATTATTACTTAGCCCAATTTTTACTGGTAAATACAACTATTTTCAACACTGATAATAATAATGAATGTTACATCCAACAATTACATCCAACAAATCAGCATATTATATTAATTTTCTGAAGCATCATGTGACACTGAAGATTGGAGTAATGATGGTGAAAATCCAGCTTCGATCACAGGATCATTTTTTATTGAAACCATGATATTACAGCTTTCTTCAGAAATAAACCAAGCATGAACATGTATTAGATGTTTTTTTTTTTTGTTTTTTTTACCTCAGGTACCTGAAGATTGTCCGGCCACTGGAGACTCATTCTCTTCAGAAGGTTCGAACCGCCCGCCACATTTCTGCAGCTACTTGGGTCTCGCTGTTAGCCACATCTTCCATCTACTTGATCCTCTTCCTCCTGACCTCCTGGGGTAAAATTCATAAGCCTGACAAAATCGGCTGTGAGGCTTTCCACAGTCCTTCGCTCAGTGTGGCCTACAAAATCACTCACAGTGTGTCTATGGTGCTCTTCATTTTTGTGCTGGTGTCTCTGATTGCTCTTTACTGGGGGACTCTGAAAAAAGTCAGAAAAGCTCAGATGTCCACACAGGCCACATCCAGCAGCCATAAGTTCAGGAAGTCTAAACGCAACATGCTAGTTCTAGTGCTTGTTTTTTGTGTGTGCTTTGTGCCCTATCATCTGGTGCGACTGCCTTATGCGTTTATAAAACCTCAGACGAAACTCTGCACAGCCCATGCGTTCTACGTCCTGAAGGAGCTGACTGTCCTACTATCAGTGCTAAATGCTTGCTTGGATCCACTTATATACTTCATCTTCTGCAAGGCCTTCAGAGCCCAGCTGTGCCTCAGAAAGAAAACAGATTCGACGAGAGACAGCGACGATAGAGGACAGCAAAGACGAATGAGCAACATGTTGACCTACATCGAGACAAAGATATCCACACTCAGACGTGAAAGTGTCATTTAACACAGACGATTGTCAGGAAGGATGACAGTTTACTTAGTAAACCACAACAAAACGAGTGCAATGTAGATGAAGGATCATTAGATTGCACATGTAGCAGCAGTTCATCTTAAAATCATGCACATCTGAGGTTTTGTCCTTTTATCTTGCACAACATATAATTTTCAGTTTCACTGTCACTAGATTACAGCTTGAAAGCGATCTAATAGTGCATTTGTTGCTAGAAATTAACGTTGAAGATTCATCACGAACTGATTCCGTCAAGGATGCATTCAATTGATCAAAAGCGACACTAAATATATTTATTGCATAATATTACAAAAACGATTTCTACTTCAAATGCTCTTCGTTTGAACTTCGTTCAAATGCTCTTCGTTCATCAAGGATTCCTACTAAAATGTATCACAATTTCACCCAAACTGTTTTCAGCACTGATAATAATCAGAAATGTTTCTTAAACAGAAATCCATCAATGATTTCTGAAGGATCATGTGACACTGAAGCCTGGAGTAATGATGTTGGAAATTCAGCTTTGCATCACTGGAATAAATTACAGTTTAAAATATATTCAAAAAGAAAAAAAGTAATTTAAAATTGTGACTAAATTTCACAAAATATTAGTGTTTTACTGTATTTTGATCAATAAATGCAACCTTGGTGCGCACTTCTTTCAAATACCGTACATAAAAAAAAAACAATTCTTACCAAACTCTTTGAATAATCGTGTATTTAATATTGGTATTTAAAGGAACACTCCGACTTTTTGGGACTTTAGCCTATTCATCTTATCCCCCAGAGTTAGATAAGTCCATACATACCTTTTTCATCTCCGTGCGTGCTGTAACTCTATCTGACGCACCCACCGCTAGCCTAGCTTAGCACAAAGACTGGATGTAAATGGTTGCAGCTAGCATACTAATCCAAATAAGTGACTTGTATGATTTGTGATTTGTATAGTCACAGAGTGTACAAAAAACAAAGTCACATGAGACACAGACATGTTTTAACCGTATAAATACTGGGAACTATATTCTCTGAAGGCGAAGCACTGCTACTTGGGCGGAGTGATAACCGCAGCACCTGAGACGCGCTCTCTGCTCCTCACCACGGCGGGTCTCAGGTGCTGCGGTTATCACTCCGCCCAAGTAGCAGTGCTTCGCCTTCAGAGAATAGTTCCCAGTATTTATACGGTTAAAATATGATCTGTGGACATGTGGCTTGCTTGCTATGGAAAAATACAGCATTTAAAATGAATATTTGAATAATAATAAAATATTAAAGCTGTACATTTATCTTAAAAGGTCTTTTTTTATTGTTACTTGTTGTTTACTTTAATTCCTTATTGCATTTTTATTTTAAAAAGGTGGATTTGTTTTGTAAACAATGAAGCATTACAGGTTTGGAATTACTTGTTTTTTTTTAAATGTATTACCCTTTTAATGGAAGTACTGTATCTTGAGAACATGAAGTGAAGTGAATAACTGCTGTATATATATATATTTAGTTCCAGATGTATTTACACTCAAATAAAAGCTGAAATGTTTGTTACACATATAAGGTAGTTTTCATAAGCACTTGTCACTTTTCATGGCAAATTTATTCAAACATACATATGTAGCGGATCAATAGATGCACCACAGGGTCAGCCCCAAATAAAGAGAAACACCAGCAACGTCTTTTCGCTTTTGCGTGTTTACTGCAATCATAAAATGGGACAGTGTTACAATCAATCATCTGTTCTGGATTGACAATCTCTCTTCAGAGTGTTTCCCGCAAACTCGTATTACAAGATGTATTTTCTTCACATTATCTTAAAGTCCCACTCCGATCATATTTTTTAGCTATTTTTAAACATTCCCAGTGGTCTTTAAATTATGATTATGCCATTTTTAGCCAAAATCACAAAACCTGTGCCGTTTTCTGGGACTTCGCTTCAACAGAGCGGCAGTAGCTCATTAGAAATTCGCCTCTGCGTTGTGGGCGGAGCCGTTGGCACGGAGGCACGGGGACGACCCTCCCCCTCCCCGTTGCTGAGAGCTCTGTCTCGACTCTCCCGCTAGCTTACATCCCCAACCTGTCAATACCGGTGCAACAAAAATGGAGAACAATATTGGAGCTATCCAGCCGTACAGTTTTGAGCCAGATGCCAGCTCGGACGAGGAACAAGAGGACGTACATAGATCTAGTCGTCTACAAGTGGATGTATCAGAATGGTAACGTTATTGTTTTTGTAATCTCTTGAATTGACTATTTCAGGCCAATAACTCCTAATAACATGTTAGTAAATAAATATGTTTGTGGACATGCTCCAAACATTTAGTCAGATTAACCTTTTTGAAGTTTTCATAGCTATCACACAAAGAATAAATCATAGTGCTGCAGAATCAAGTTTAAATTTAAGTTTACTTATAGAGCACAGTATGAGCTTGTGGCCCCGCCCAGTGGAGTTACTACGTCACAACTCCAGTCTATTTCAAACGGCATTTTTGCGTCTGCTACTGATTCACAGCCATTTGAATGTAGAAATACTCAGAAATACAACTTTGAGCCTATTTTTCTAAAGATATGTCCTCTAACATAAGAAAAATGCCACAAGAACATGTTAACACCTAGAAAAACATTATTTTCATCGGAGTGGGTCTTTAAGTGGTTCCATTTAATAAGATGCATAACACCAAAGGCATATTTTTTATGTAGAACTAATAAGATATGAATTCTGAAAATTAATAAAACAATAATGAAACAAAAGAATACAACTCATACCTGCAATCGTAAAATGGGACAGTGTTACAATCAATCATCTGTTCTGGATTGACAATCTGCAAACACATCATTCAGTTAGTACATTGTCCCATATTTCTAATATGCAGGCAACTTACAATATCAAAGAAACAATTCGTAGTTTCAGCTTCTTCTTAACACACATAACATGCTTTAAATCATGAACTACATTACCCAGAATGCACCGTTGATTACTGGCGCGCATTTCACTCGGTGCAGCACAGATTAACCACTCATGTCATCAAAATGAAATTAAGTGAAACCCAGATCAACATTAACAAGTATCCTCATACCCATGAAAACCACATAGGACATTAACTGATACTTTAAGTGTTAGTCATCTTTATTTATATATATAGCGCTTTTAACAATGGATTGTTTCAAAGCAGCTTTACAGAGATAAACATATAATTTAAGGTAACAGATTGTTTTGGCGTTATAGCGGTTCTTGAATAATGTTACTTCCAGCTAAAGTTAACTTTGATTGATTCACCACCGTCGAAATGATCAGACTTTAAACGCGAACCTGTGATTAACGCAGACGGCGTTCACATGCTCATTCAGAATTCTATAGTTATGTGCTTTTTAAAATATGTGCGCAGGTTTGTAATTCATACAACCCAGCCTAAACAAACTACTTTTCTTGCCTATAAATTTTGATACAGAATTTTGTTTTATTTTATCACTTCGGGGTACGCGAGCCGGAATTCCCAACGCTTTATCTGTAGAGTGGGAAAGGGATCCTCCATAGGGAGAGGATAGTGGATACTTCAGCACTGCATTGTCATCGGGTCCAGGCAAAGCTCCCTCGTCAGATCTGGACACTGCCTGAATCCGGCAGGCTGCGGGAAAACCTCGGGATAAACAAAGACACTAATATTAGCGTAGATGCCATTCTTCTTATGATGTAGCGAGTACATCAAGATTTAAGGGAAGTGTTCCCAGTTCCGGCTGACCTAATCTATGCAGCCTAACATTGAATTTATAGAAGTCTATAATGTATTATGTGTATGCTAGGTCAAAGAGATGTGTTTTTAGTCTAGCTTTGAACTGACAGAGTGTGTCTGCTTTCCGGACAATGGTAGGTAGACTGTTCCAAAGTTTTGGTGCTAAATAGGAAAAGGATCTACCGCCTGCAGTCGATTTAGATATTCTAGGTATTATCAACTGGCCGGAATTTTGAGATCGCAATAGACGTGAAGGACTATAATGCGTTAAGAGCTCGCTCAAGTACTGCGGAGCTAAGCCATTTAGTGCTTTGTAGGTAATCAACAATATTTTAAAATTTATACGATGTTTAATAGGGAGCCAATGCAGTGTTGACAGAACCGGGCTAATATGGTCATATTTCCTGGTTCTGGTAAGAACTCGAGCTGCGGCGTTTTGAACTAGCTGTAGTTTGTTTATTAAGCGTGCAGGGCAACCACCCAGTAGAGCATTACAATAATCTAGCCTTGAGGTTATGAATGCATGGACTAATTGTTCCGCATTTCCCAATGAGAGCATATGGCGTATTTTAGATATATTTTTAAGATGGAAAAATGCAGTTTTACAGATACTAGACACGTGGCTTTCAAAAGAAAGGTTGGTATCAAAGAGCACACCCAGGTTCCTAACCGACGACGAAGACTTGACAGAGCAGCCATTAAGTGTTAGACAGTATTCTGGGTTATTACGTGTGGAAGTTTTTTGTCCAATAATTAGAATCTCTGTCTTTTCCGAATTTAGTAGTAGGAAATTACTAGTCATCCAATTTTTTATATCAGCTATGCATTCCGTTAATTTTGTGAATTGGTAAGTTTCGTTGGGTTTTGAAGAAATATACAGCTGAGTATCATCGGCATAACAGTGAAAGCTAACTCCATGTTTCCTAATGATATCTCCTAATGGTAGCATGTACAGAGTGAACAGCAGCGGTCCTAGTACTGAGCCTTGTGGTACGCCATACTGAACTTTTGATCGATAAGACATCTCTTCATTTACTGCTACAAATTGATAACGGTCAGTTAAGTATGACTTAAACCATGCTAATGCAATACCACTAATGCCAACATAGTTTTCTAGTCTATTTAAAAGAATGTTGTGGTCACTGGTGTCAAATGCAGCACTAAGATCGAGTAACACTAATAGAGAGATACAACCACGAACGGATGATAAGAGCAAATCATTTGTGACTCTAATGAGAGCGGTCTCAGTGCTATGGTACGGTCTAAATCCGGACTGAAAATCCTCGCAGATATCATTTCTTTCTAGAAAGGAACATAGTTGTGAAGATACTGCTTTTTCTAATATCTTTGACAGAAAAGGCAGATTCGAGATCGCCCTGTAATTGACTAATTCTGTAGGATCAAGTTGTGGTTTTTTAACAAGCGGTTTTATCATAGCCAGTTTAAAGGTTTTTGGTACGTATCCTAGAGACAAAGATGAAT